TTCGTCCCGTGTCCGGATGGGACTTTCCTTGGCGTGGAAGGCAAGCTTAGCGATACGGATATGTAGATCTCCTACCATTGTAACCGACTCTGTGTAACCCTAGCCCTCTCCGGTGTCTATATAAGCCGGATGGCTTTAGTCCATAGGACGAACAACAATCATACCATAGGCTAGCTTATAGGGTTTAGCCTCCTTGATCTCGTGGTAGATCTACTCTTGTAACCCACATCATCAATATTAATCAAGCAGGACGTAGGGTTTTACCTCCATCAAGAGGGCCCGAACCTGGGTAAAAACATCGTGTCCCTCGTCTCCTGTTACCATCCGCCTAGACGCACAGTTCGGGGCCCCCTACCCGAGATCCGCCGGTTTTGACACCGACAATTGCCTAAGGAAGTTTTCATTTTCTTTGGACGAAAAAATCATTTTCCATTTTTCGAGTGGCCAAAAGGAGGTTCTTTTGTGAAGAACCTACCAAATAATTGTTGCAAAATTGGATAAAATCATTTTTATAAAATACTATGCCATATTTAATGCACAATTGACCAAATGGTTGGGTGTAAAAAGTTTTGATCCACCTTTCATGAAAAAGACAAATTTCCGCCGATTCAGTTGGAAGCAGGTAAAATTTGAACTGTAGATGCCTTGTAATTTGCTCTTTATTTATTCCAAAAATAATTTCTAGGTACATAAGTCTCTATTTAATCAGAGAAACACCAAAAAATTCCAAGATTCAAGCACTAGCTAGGAACGGTCATTCCCGCCGTTTTGAAATGGGCATAAAAAATTCAAAAAAAATCAAAAAAATGGGAAACCTTCGCATTCTGTCATTATATGTGGCCAAGTTCCCAGGAAAAATAATAAACTTGTAATATGGAAACTATTTTTTAAAAATGTTATAAAAAACGAGCTATCACGTGTGGAGATCAATGACTTTCAAGCCAAATGATCAATCTTATGGCCACATTCATGGCATAGTTTGTTCAAATGATCTCATATTGTGCACAAGGGTGCATATTTGAATGGCAAACAATATTGCCTAAGGAAGTTTTCATTTTCTTTGGACGAAAAAATCATTTTCCATTTTTCAAGTGCGCAAAAGGAGGTTTTTTTGTGAAGAACCTACCAAATAATTGTTGCAAAATTGGACCAAATAATTTTTCTAAAATACTAGGACATATTTAATGCACAATTGACAAAATGGTTGCGTGTAAAAAGTTTGGATCCACCTCTTTTGAAAAAGACAAATTTCCGCCGATTGAGTTGGAAGTGGGTCAAATTTGAACTGTAGCTGCATTGTACTTTGCTCTTTATTTTTTCCAAAAATCATTTCTAGGTACATAAGTATCTATTTAATCATAGAAACACAAAAAAATTCCAAGATTCAACCACTAGCTAGGAACGGTCATTCCCGCCGTTTTGACCGCATTTTGAAACGGGCATAAAAAATTCAAAAAAAATCAAAAAATTGGGAGACCTTCGCATTGTGTCATTATATGTGGCCAAGTTCCCAGGAAAAATAATAAACTTGTAATACGGCAATTATTTTAAAAAAGTGTTCTCAGAAACGAGCTATCACGTGTGGAGATCAATGGCTTTCAAGCCAAAACAATCAATCTTAAGGCAACATTCATGGCATAGTTTGTTCAAATGATCTCATATTGTACACAAGGGTGCATATTGGAATGGCAAACAATATTGCCTAAGGAAGTTTTCATTTTCTTTGGACGAAAAATCATTTTCCATTTTTCAAGTGCCCAAAAGGAGGTTTTTTTGTGAAGGACCTCCCAAATAATTGTTGCAAAATTGGACCAAATCATTTTTATAAAATACTAGGACATATTTAATGTATAATTGACAAAATGGTTGGGTGTAAAAAGCTTTGATCCACCTCTGGTGAAAAAGACAAATTTCCGCCGATTCAAGTGGAAGCGGGTCAAATTTGAACTGCAGATGCCTCGTAGTTTGCTATTTATTTTTTCCAAAAATTATTTCTAGGTACATAAGTACCTATTTAATTATAAATACATGGTTTGGTGGCGATACATCGAGGTTTGGACGGTGGCCGAGGGCCCCAACTCTAGAGCGCGTAAACTCGCATGCCCGCCACGTGGTCACCGCATGACCGTGATGTTGCCATGTGTTCTGGGCGGCCTAGGCATGTCTAGTGGGTTAAGAACTCCCCAGGTAGGTGCTAGGAAGAAAATTACAACATAAGATTCTCACGAGGAGACCGATCGATGCTCAAGCATGAATTAGCAGCCAAGTGTTTGATTAGCGGTACGGGAAATGCACATGGCTAATGGGCGTGAGTTTTGGCTGAGGATGATCAGTTACTAAGAAGACCGTCTTTACAAATTTTCAGCTCAAAAGGAGGAGCCTAGGTGGTACTTGCTTTGCAAAGTACCACACTAGACATAAATACGAATGTTGAAGCTGGGCTCAAAATAATGAATGGATTGAGCTGGCATTTGGTGGAGGATGGTTATTTGGGCATAGGAAAGCACTGTATAAAATGGATACTATTTGGACATGCCAAAATTGTACTTCCTTCACAATGCTGTTCTCTGGATAGAAACTTTGAAAAATTAGTGAGAGAAATTGGCTAAATAAAATGAGCTCAAATTTGGTGTAGGTAAGTTACATAGGCATGTAGAATATGTGGAAAAAAAATTCAACTCATTAGGATATGCATAACTAGTACTTCTTTCACAAAGGTTCTAGGTGGACAAAAACTTTGGAAATTTGCCGAGGAAGATTTACTGGGCAAATGGAGCTGAATTTTGTCATGAGGCAATGATTTGGATAGGAAAGAGTGCCCAAAATTTTTGAGGGCAACTAAGAATATATAAATAGCACTTCCTTCACAATGCTCTTCTCTGGACAGAAACTTCGGAAAATTAGTGAGAGAAATTGGCTAAATGAAATGAGCTCAAATTTGGTGCAGATAAGTTACATAGGCATATAGAATATGTGGCAAAAATTCAACTCATTAGGATATGCATAGCTAGTACTTTTTTCACAAAGGTTCAAGGTGGACAGAAACTTTGGAAATTTGCCGAGCAAGATTTACTGGGCAAGTGGAGCTGAATTTTGTCATGAGGCAATGATTTGGATAGGAAATAGTGCCCAAAAATTTTGAGGGCAATCAAGAATATATAAATAGCACTTCCTTCACAAAGTGTTGTTTTGAACAGAATAGGAAAATGAATATTGTTGAATTATTTTTGAACTAGGCAAGGAATTTTTTTTACATATTTGACGAAGATGTGACCCAAAGAATTTATGAGATTTTTTTGAGAATTTTGGTAATGACAGAAATATAGGTTGCTTCACAACCTCGGGCGAAAATTGCCACATGGACATGACACATAGGCAAAACTGATGAGGTGGCGCCTAGTCATAGCAGCCCATCATAATTTACAAGGTTATGACCATCTATATTGGTCGTGATCAGCTAGAAATAAGGCAGCGGACTAGTGCTATCTACTTTATGACCATTTCGTGTAAGGAAATTATGACCTTTCTGACCAAAATGGTCGTTATAGTTTAGGGTTTGGAGCCCCCCCCCCCCAATAGCTTTTGACCAATTGGTCTGAAATGGTCATAGATCTATGACCAATTCTTTCAGGGTCACTGACAGAAGGTCAGTAGTTGACATATTTCTTGTAGTGCTCCATCGATGTGTAGGATGAAGCACCGCTCCACCACCTACTGACGCACAACCAGCAATCCGTCCACATGTCCATCCAGCCGATGAATGTCTCCAAAGATGATGCCCCCACAGGGGTGACGCCGAAAGACGTCGCCATCATCCGATCCAGGAGGCCCCTCAATGCCTCCAACGAGGGCTACGACGCCCACGGGTGCCGCCATCAATGGTAGCGTCCTCCAGATATGAAGTTTCCCCAAAAACAATGAAGCGAGGGACGCCCCACCATCGCCTTCAACGAGGAAACTGACACACGGGCGTCGCCGACGATGGTGGCATCCTCACCCACTTCAACAGCTAGGCCACCATCTCCTCCTCCAGTTGATCCGCCGTCGGGAAGCCACCGCGAGGCAACACCCACCGACCAAATCCCTTTGGACCGACAATGAAGACAGCCAAAAGTAGAGGAGGTCATATCGCTGTGTGACTGACGCCTTGGCCACACACACGTCGTCCCAAGGCGCCCGCTCAAGATCAGATATTGGACATCAAATTTCTTAATTAGTAAAAAAACAAAAAATTGCGTCATATTTTTGGAGAATAAATAAAAAGGACATCAATAAGTCTCAAACGTTCGGAATTTAAGCATCTCATGTCGAACGTTTTTTGATGCCAACTTTAGTTGCTGCGAGGTGGCAACTTTAGTTGTTAACACATGGCAACTTTGTTCCAGTTTGATTTTTTGTCAGAAAATTGCCATATTTGTCAACATCACCTTAACTAAAGTTGCTATGAAAAGTGTTCGGATTAGCATGCTTAAAAATCGAACGTTCGGGCTTTATCTATCCCGAATAAAAATTAGAAAGGACAGCATCAAAACGGTAGGCTTGCGTATATTGTCAAGCAGCTACGATACGATCGACTAGTTATTTGTAAGCAGAGATGCTACTAGCAGATTCTACTAGACGTCAATCCCAAGAATGGAACCGTATTCTAAAGATTTATACAATAGGCCAGCCAATTCAGAAACGATGGTACGAATAATCAAGACGGTTGAGCAGATCGAAGCTGCAGCGCCGGCCAGCTCCCCCTTCTTACCTAAACACAGAAAATTGTAGCCATCGCCATGGAAAGCACTTCCCTTTTTGAATTGACAACGCACGCACAAACATTCTCAATCTAGCCAGCAACCAGCCTAATCACGCCCTCGCTTTTATCTGTATAAATTGCGAGGCATTGACACATGTTCCTACATCGCAGCAGAGCAGAACAAGCATCTTGCAATCACCTCCCACATACGAGAACAAAACTCTCTGTCACTAGTACCTACACCTAGCTAGCCGTAGCCATGGCTTCCAACGGGAGCATGTTGGCCATGATCATCGCGTGCGCGCTCCTCCTCGCCGGCAGCACGTGCCACGCCGCCCGCAACCTGGCCGACACGACGCCGGCAGCCGCCGCTCCGGCTGCTAGCGCCGTCCCTGGACTGCCGGCCGTGCCGACCTTACCCGCCGTGCCCACGGACACGGTCACCCTGATGCCACCCATGCCGTCGGTCACCCTCCCCACCGTGCCGCAGGTGACCCTGCCGCCCATGCCGGCCATCGTCGTGCCCAAGACGGTGCTGCCGCCGATGCCCAAGGTCACCCTCCCCACAGTGACGATGGCACCGATGCCCGCAATTGTCGTGCCCAAGGTGACGCTGCCGCCGTTGCCCTTCGTCCCGAATGTGAACGTGCCTATGCCGTTTGCGGCGCCACCCCCATCGGCGTAGGCGCGCCCACGCGGGGCGGCGATCTGGCCCTGTCCATGACGTATTGATGGGGCGCCTTCCATGTGAGAGTGGCGCCAGGTCACTCCGTGGTCACGGCACACATGTTCTTACATGCAAGCTCCGCGTTTTAAGCGTGATGTATCACTAGATCCTACATTTTGTTTACGTCTCAGTGTATGTACTCTTAGTCTGGTGCTGCTAGTGTTTGACTGTTGAGGGGCCGTCCCATGTCTATATGTAATTGTTTACCAATCACAAAAGTTTCATATTTTCTGCGATGATTTAATCACCTTTTCACTTAACTGATTAATCGAACATGCACACTCCTTTTGACAGATTCGAAATGAGTAACCAAAGCTTCGTCTGGTCTCCTCACCTAAACTTCGGTTCGGCACCACTTAATGTTGCCGGAACCCTACCATTGTTTTCTTTTGCTTCAATGTCGTGATACACTCAGGATGTTTACGATACCTACCCATTAATTGCTCTAACTTCTCGTAGTTCATCCCTAGCTATGCCCGCTTCTATGAAATTTCAGATTATGCTTGCAAGCTCATCGGAGCTGGGCAACTCTTTGTCAGTGATTTCATGCCTACCAAACAGGCACACTATAATGTATACAACCTTTAAGAAAAGAAATCCTTCTCGTCAATGACCTTGTTCTTTTTTAAAAACCTTTGCCGTTTGTACTGTTGTTAGTGTCACTGACTGATGTTGAGATCTTGATGTAGGCACAACACAAGCGTATAAAGGCCGCTTCTTTTATTTACGATTAAACATTTGAACATGAGCCACACAAACAAAGTTTTGAACACAAGGGACTAGTGTGTCAATTAGGGCATCTCCAACGCTATCCCCTAATTTGCCCTTACATGTCCAAACTTGACGGTCCGGGCACTTTTATACTTCCAACGATATCCTTTGTTTGCCAATGGACTTAACGGGGCGTCTGAAATCCCCTAGTATATCCCCAAATTGGGGGGTTGTATAGGCGTGTCCGGATGTGTTCCCAAACACCGCCAATTTAGCATATATAAGACAACTCCAACGTCATCACAAACTCATTTTTTACTCTTCCCCTTCTCTCTCATCTCTTCGTTGGACAAAGGGGTGAATAATTGAGCGATATGTTGGATGGCTGAGCACGAAGGACATCATGGCGGTGTGTTTCTTCTTGCCTGTGTAGCCCAACTGCCCAAGCATGTTTCTGCCAGGGTCATCCACCAAATACTCAGATGTTGGCCACCAATTTCCTCCCTTTGTTTCCACTCAAATAGTTGAGGTTGTCACGGGAGCTTACACCATCGTAAATGCACTTCGCAAAAATTTAAGTTCACAATACAACTGACGTAAGTAGTTGAACGGATGAACATGCAGGAATAAGAACGAAAACAACATTGAAATGTCATGAAATCGTCATCTCTACATCAAAACGCCCAAGTCGGCGTAAAAGACTACACAAACAACCCACTCTAAAAGGCACGTGCTAGAAAAATCAAAGGCACATGTCGATTTACCGAGCACCAAGTAATTATAACACGAATGCCACTGAAATTTGTTAACTAAGTTCACCAAATATCTGTAGACTATTCAAAATCAATTAGGCTGTAGCCACTCCCTTTCTTATTTGATTTCACATTGGGGTTGGCAAGGCACGAGGGGCTCGGCAGTCGGCACACATCCCTGTGTTGTGTTTGAAATACTTGTTTATCGGAAGAAAGAGTGACGAGGAGAGGTACCACTGCAGCGTCAGCTCCTCACCTAAGCACAGAAATCTGAGGCATTCATGCATGCATGCATCCCCAGCGATCGACCGCTGCAACTAATTTCCTGCTCGATCATATAAACATATTGTCACTCTGACTAACGTAACACGTTATGGTTACCAACTCTGGTTCCGGAGAAAGTTGTGTTGCCTACCATGGCGAGTCTGGCCAACAACCAATCTAATCAGGCCATCCATCACCTGGGCCATAAGTTCCAGGCATTGACCCCTGTTCTTGCATCGCAAGAGATCAGAGACATCTCGCAGTCGCTTCGCAGCAAACCACCTCAGAGAAAATCTAGGAGCTAGCCATGGCCTCCACCACGAGCTTCTTGGCCATGATCATGGCGTGCACGCTCCTCGCCAGCACGACGTGCCATGCCGCTCGCCACTTGGCCGACACCACCCCGGCGGCTGCCCCACCCGCTGCGGCTGCTGTCCCTGGCCTCCCGGCCGTGCCGACCATGCCGATGCTACCACCGATGCCGGCTGTGCCGACGGTGCCGGCCTTGACTGTGCCACCCATGCCGACTGTGCCCACCGTGCCGCAGGTGACACTGCCGCCCATGCCCGCTGTTCCAGCGGTGCCCAAGGTGACGATGCCCCCAATGCCGGCCATCGTCGTGCCTAAGGTGACCATGGCACCGATGCCCGCCGTTGTTGTGCCTAAGGTGACGATGCCGCCGATGCCCGCCATTCCTTCCATGCCCAAGATGACGCTGCCGCCGATGCCTTCTATACCAACCGTCAACGTCCCTATGCCGTTCCTGGCGCCGCCTCCATCAAATTAGGAGTGCCACGTGCATGGTGACGCATGCACCATGTCAACGGTCACAAGCTCTCATGTTCCAGTGGCTACATCACTTGTTGCTCATGTGAAGTATTTGTTTTCGTGTTGTATGCTTTACATTTCAATTCAGTTGTTATTTATTGTGTGTTGATATTGAAGGGGTGTTCTTGTCCTAATATATATGCGGCATTTCAATCTATTTACATGTTATTTATACCTTTATACCTATACCTAATAATAAAGGGATATTGCTTCTTGCGGTATGTCACGGGAACTGCCTCCAAACATGCAAACCCACCAATGCCATAAAAAGTTTTACATAGGGGAATCCCCCGCCTGGACTTACAAAATAGTTTATTCATTCATGAAATGTTCGCTCATTCAAAAAAATATCATGCATTTACAAATCGTTAAATCACAAAAATGTTCATGAATTTCAAAAAATGTTTCATCAATTTCCAAAAAATGTTCGTCGATTCTAGAAATGTTCGCCGATTCTAGAAATGCTTGGGAGCGGACGAGACTTCCGTGAAACCCCCAAGTTTGTCTCCGGTTTGCGGGAGAAATCGCGTAAATACTGCACCGTAAACCAGTCCCGTGTTGGATGGCTTCTACGGTCCTGACAGCGCGATACAAACGCATGTGAAGGTTTGCAGGTCCGCTTTGAAAATACCCTTAGGGAGTGTTTGGTTGCAAGGGACTAGTCTTTTTTTAGTCCTAAGGACTAAAGAAAAAAGACCCTCCAGTAGAGTCTTTTTGTAGACCCTATAGAAAAGTCTCTCCTTTTTTTTTGCAGGGAAATTGAGCTTTATTCATATAAAGGCATTCGCTGAGCAGTCAGCCAGAAGGCTGCTGATCAGGAAGCTAGGAGTTTCTGTAAGCCAGCTTTCCGTCACCATCACCGTACAAGCGCGTTTTGCACAAAGGTTAGCGGGGACATTAGCTGACCTACTTACATGTTGTATTAGAAAGGAATTAAAACTAGCAGAAAGCTCATCTATTTCATGAAGAATAGGAGCCACAACAGAACAATTGTTGCGGCGAGTGTTCCAGAGGTTGACCACCTCGAGACTGTCAATCTCTAGCACCACATGCGAAAACCACCTGAGACTTGCGAAGATTACTCCATCTCTTGCAGCTAGGGCTTCCGCAATAAAGGGGTCAGTCACTCCGGGATGGGGTTTACACCAAACTCCCAATAAGCCGGAAGCTGAACGCGCCACACCTCCAGCTCCGCTCTTCCCTTCCAGGTGGACAGTCGCAACATCTGTATTAATTTTGATCTGACCTGCCTCAGGGGGGTGCCAGCCATGGCTTGGCAAGATGTACACCTGTTGCAAGGGAATATCCAGTAGTGCCAATGCTTCACGAGTGAGTCGAACTGAACTCGCCGGATCCAGCTTGTCACCCTCGTGCGTCCACGGATTTCGTGAAGTCCAAATGGACCACATTACTGAAATGATCGATGCTCGCTCTCGCGTAGAGAACCTGTCATCACATAAAATGTCAGTAGCCCATGTAGATGGGTGCAGGCGCAGTAGCTTGATGTCCAGAAGTGAGCGCGCTTCTTCCCAAAATCTTTGGGCATGGGAGCAATGAATAAGTGCATGTTCCAAGTCTTCCTCTTTAGCCTGACAAAGTTTGCATAAATTAATTTCACGGATGTGCCGGGCCTTGAGAGTATGTTCATCAGGTAGAATTCCTCGAAGGACCCTTCACCAGAACACCCTCACTTTTGGTACCACCTTGAGAGACCATAGCGATTTCCACAACTGCTGCTTGCTTACTGAAGATTCGGTAACCTTCCCTTCTTCTCGAGCTTGATGCTCTTTCTGAATCACTAGAGCGCGGTACGCCGACTTAACAGTGTACATGCCTGTTCTCTCATGTGCCCATGCCAATATGTCTTCGCCACCGCTGCGTCGGAGAGGGATATTCAAAATTGCCTCCGCGTCCGGTGCGATAAAGCTGTCTCGAACTAGTTCTTGACGTCAGGTCCAGTTCTCTGAGTCAATGAGCTCGCTCACCTGAGTGATGCTCGTGCCTGGTGGTTTGAACAGAGGGGTTCTAGTTATCGTTGTTGGTATCCATTTGTCCGTCCATGGATTGATTGAGGTGCCATCCCCAACACGAAGAACTATACCCGCATGCAGAGCTTCACGTCACGCAATGATTGCCCGCCAAGTGGTTGAGGCGGCTTTAGGTGTCGAAGCATGCAGGAAATCCGAGTCCGAAAAGTACCCGCCCTTCATAACTCTCGCGCAAAGTGACGTTGGATTTGTCATGAAGTGCTAGCCATGTTTGCCAAGGAGTGCCAGGTTGAACATGTGAAGATCTCGAAAGCCCATCCCTCCCTGACATTTTGGTTTTGCAAGTTCCTTCCAAGAGATCCAGTGAAGTGCCCTTTTATCTATGGAACTGCTCCACCAATACCTTGCCATATTT